TTTTTTTTTTTTTTTTTTTTTTTTCTTTTTCTTTTGTGGACCTAAGATGGGGTAGAAGATTTGAAACCTCGATAATATTTTAAACCTACTGAATTTTCCCAGTTAAAAAGTCACTAACAAACTCTAACAGGTAAATTCAAAGCCAGCAACTTGAATCGCATAGAAGATAAAATTTACAATCACTATGCTCTTTTACGAGGTTCGAGACAACAATAGTTTTACCTGATCATGCCCAGAATGATAGCCACTATTTGAAATCCATGCACGAGAGAGAATTTCACTTCAACTGGGCACCAAATCGCCTTCTATCTCGCCTGCAAAAGATTGTTAAAATAGCACCAGAGAAACATATATTATGAATCCAAGTTTCTTCAAAGTTTGTTAAGAATAAATTATGTTAATGACACGGGATTCTTCTCCCCCCCAGCCTACCCAATAAAGTTCTTCGTGATAAAAGATTGGACAAGGGCCTGTTTGACCAGTACTAAGGGCCTGTTTATATGTCTGAATTATAACATATATGTATCAATTAATAGTTTTCTGATGCAACGACCCATTACCCTAAGATAAAGACGAACAAGTTAGATACTTACCATGCATGCACTTAATAAAGTAGTCCAACTCTGGAAAGCAAACCGCTCCTTGAATCAAAGCAGAAGGCTGGCGATATGCAAAGAAAGAGAAATGATGGCGATCAGGGTCACTCCGCGGTTTCGCCATATCGATGATTCTCATATATCCATCTCTGTCATAGCATGAAGGAGAGTTTTCACCAGCTACAGTTAAGCCTCGATCCCACGCTGAATTTAAAATCTGCAGATAAGACATGGAGATTTCTCTTTAAAGGCATTGATAGAGAAGGAAAACATGAGAGAGAATAAACAGTTAAGTTTCAACCTGTTAAAGGTCATTATATAACAAGAAAAAAGGAAATTTGTTTTGAGAACAGTTTTCTGTCATTGTTTTCAAATTTGTCTGTGTTAGAAAATTTTGAAGTTAACATGTACAATTAATATCATTGATCCTACTGAAATTATATCATAATTTACAAATTTGAGATGTTGAATTTTTATTTTTATTTTTTAAGAAAAAAGTATTTACAGTAAATATGCTACAAGAAAAATAAATAAACTTGAATAATATCTAAATAAAAATTTGAAAATTTTATATTCTAAAAAAATAGAATACTATCTTTTATCCAAACAAATGAAGTCAGCATAATGTGGATGGCTCCTAATAACCATAGAATGAAAATTCTCCTTCCAAACAATCTCCCAGATAGGTTGTTCAAAAGACTATTTTGAAACAGATTAGATTTGTTTCTCGATAAAATATGAAAATTGTGATAAAAAAAAAATTAACAATTTATAATTCTATCTCTCTATCTATCTCTAAGATGTTGGATTTTTCAAAACTTTATGGGCATCCGGAAGAGAACTCCTATCCATTAGACTTTATAAAGGCATTAATCAATGGCCAAAAAATCATAGCCAAGGCACCCATAGAAGCTCAATAATCTAAAGAAAAAGCATAAGATACTAAAAAAAATTAGCCACCTGCCAATGCAAACTTTCTGGATCAGCCAATGCATCCCCCTCTTCCTGACCAGCAACTGGCATGCCACAGCAGACGAGTTTGACTATTACAGAGTGTTTCTTCAAAACATCGAAAACAGGGGAGTACCCATCTTGGTTAGAGGGGTTATAAAACCCAGCTGTGAGCTCTGCCGCATGACTAGAAGTCTTGTACCACCAATAAACTGCAGGGATCTGTGCTATCAAAAACATCCATTTAAGAACAGATTTGCAATTAAGTCCATGACTAAAAGCTATAGGATTGATTGATGAACATCAAATATTTCAGGAATTGAACCCAGAAAATGAGAACCAAAGTTGGCAAATAAGTTTATATGGCATGCGGATTGTCTTATAGAAGTTGTTGTATCCATGATTGGAGATTAATTAAGCAAGTAGGGAATACAATGATATATGATGGTTATACCGAGAAAAAAAACTGAAGTATGCGTGGGAATCAGAAACACAGTCGTTATCCCACTGGAATTTTTAGGCAGAATCCCCTAACAAAATATTCATTAATAGTTGAAAAACGTTATTATATATTCTAGCTTCTTCTATATTCACTTAAGCTTCTTCAAATATAAAGGGATGATCTCGGATTGGTGAGTGAATAATAGGGAAGAAAAGAGAGGAGACAGGATGAGAAATTTAAGGATTTGGTTGTCTATGGCCCTCTACATCTACCTCTGGAGAATCAAAAGCTCCGAGATACTCGTTCTCCCTGTTGGAGGACTCTAAACATTAGTAGACTCCTCACTTTCCTCTTCTTCTCGTAACATAATATATAAAACACCCAAATCCTTTCTGCCATTTCCTACATCTGCCCCCAATATTCTCTCTGTTAGCTCAATGTCTAAATCCAAATTGCCAATAGAATATCACTCGCCACTCCCCTTCTCAAGCCTAGCACATGTAACACACAAGGGTGGAGTCCAATTCACCGAATGTTTATCTTACAACCAGCGTTAGGTAGCTACAAGAGAAGATGGCTCAAACGCCAGTCAAATTAACAGAAGCACATCTGATTATGATACTGATTAAAAACAAGTTCTATGAAGGTGACTAATCTAGATCTCGTGGCCTGAAGATAAACTTATTTCTTGAAGGATTAATCACACGAAGGGCACAAGAACAATTTCATGAAAAGTATTACATGTCATTAGCTATGGAAAAAATCTAAAATAAAGCTAAGATTGACCAATGAGATGATTCATACCTTAACAATAAAATTTGTTTCCTCGAAGACGAGGCTTGCGAGAGACAATACATTATCTACATGATATATCAGCGTCTGGGCATACCATTGGAGGAAAAAGCGCCCATAGTAGCTATCGTAATCACCTCGTTCACAGAAGAACCCTGATTCATGTGGTCTAGAATTGTATTGGCCGGCATTATCAGGTCCCCTAGCCCAGAATGAGTGACCACGCAGCCCAGCAGCTTTGCGCAGACTCTGTTGTAGATACTTATCATAACACTGCACATCAAATTCACCAGAGGTAAAATAGGCAATCAGCTATTTAGGTCCCAAAACATAATATCCAATGGTCATAAATTAGTCTGCTTGGTCTTAAAAGGTGATTAGGTCTTGAGAGTCCATTTTTAGGAGTAGTTTTATTACTTTCTAGAGGAACTTAGTGACCAAGAACTTTCAAGTCAATATAAAGCACGCCATTTGTTGACCATCCTAAAACCTGATAGGAGCTTCATAAGATAAGAAACACAATATTTGGATGGCCAATAAATCCAAAGAACAGAGGATTAACATTATGATGGAAGGGATAAACTTTAATAGATACCTGAAACTCACCGATACCAGGATACCTCCATCCCATTCTTTCTGAGAAAGAAGGATATTTTAGTTCTCCAGATGCCCCCAGTCCTACTTCAATTGCAGAGACGAGACCCTCAGCAAACAAATCATTGAACTCTGTATGGAAGCTTCTCATAAAGTCAAAGTAGACCTGAAAACAGTTGAGATTAATTCAGGCACATAAAACTAGGTTATAATTGGGATGATAATGGAAAAGAAGCTTATGGCCAGAACTGAAAACCTGAAAGGAAATACATCATCGAACTTAGAAAATTGTTTAAGTATTCAATCAATTTAAACCAACAAAAGAAATCTAAAGTTATCACAGTTTCACATCCTATAAATTGCGGTATTATTGCACACAAAATAATTCATTAC